TTCATGCTAAGGGGGTCTTCAAATCTTTTGACAGCTTCCGATGTGCTAATTTTTAACATTTTTCAGCTGGACCAAATCACTACTTTACTTTAAAATTCATGACCCAAATTTTTTTACAGTGTCATTTCACCCCCCTACTTACTATTTGAGTCATAAAACATGGAGAAATAAATTCGGAAGGGGTATAAAAAAAATCGACAAGTAACACACTGTCCACACTAGGGACTATATTCGTGGACAACGAAAATCAAAGGACGATAACTGTGTACCCGGACCATTTAAGCATTGTGTGGCTTTGAAACGTTATAAACACAGCAAATTCAAACCAGAAATTATTTCGGGACATGTTCAATTGATATATAAAACTTTCTTTTATGAAATTGTTCATACATTTTGACGGTCATTCCGAAAGTGGCAACCAACGACCTATAAATTGTAACATTGAAAGATGTTTTTCAAGATCTGTGATTTTTGTTACAGAAGTTCAATTTTTACCGGAAAGAGGATACCGATAACCAATTTAGAATAGCATAATACATTTAATTTAATAACGTATGACCTTTTACAAAAATGTTCCCCCCTTTTTTCAATAAAAAAATGACAAGGGTACAAATACTGTCCATAAACATTATTGACATCAAATGAGGTCTTATTAAAAAAATCGGACCTAATGGCATTGAACCATCATGGCCTTACAGATTATTCCACACAAAAAGTGAACCGGAAAAAAGTCATGGAAGTCCAGTCTTTTACTGTACCAATTACATAATACATTCACATAATTACAAAATAATCGAGCACTTTCAACAATTTGTTCAATGACATATAAGCGACACAGGATCTTTCACGATCTCAAAATTGCGATACCCGATCTTTCACGATCTTAAATATCAAATTTATACACATATTCCAATATTATTTACTTTTTGATTAAGCTACGTCAAAAATCATTTTCAGAGCCGTTTGAAACATTAATATGAGAGACATTGTTCAGAAAATAGTAATTTAATCATTCATATAATGAAAAAAATCATGTGTGTTTACATTTTTTATGTCATTGAAATATCGAAGAGCAATCTGCCATTTGTTGTTTTGTAAAAACGGTGATATTTAAAACTCTGATTTTTTAGATACTTCTGTTCATTTTGACAGACAGTTTTATTTTTGTTCAGTCTGCGACATTTATGTCTAGCGATCCTTGATTCCGTCCTCTGCATCAGCGTCGGCGTCGGCGTCGGCGGTGTAAAAATTTAGGTTCAGTCTGTGGTTAGTTTTTTTAGACATCAATAAATTTGTCAAACCTTCATTGAATTTTATGAAATTTGGTCAGAAGCTTGTTTATGACCAGAGCAAAAGTTTGAAAATATTTCTTTTTATTTTTCTGTATTTTACTGATAAATGGACTTAGTTTTTTTTACAGTTAACATTCAGATTCAGGCTGAGGTTAAAGTTTTTCAGTCATCAATTACTTTGTCAAATCTTCATGGAATCTTATATAGTTTGAACAGAAGCTTGTTTATGACCAAAATATAGTATCCATACTATATATATTATTATTAAAAATATTCATTTTCATTTTTCCGTATTTTACTGATAAATGGACTTAGTTTATTTTTTACAAATATATACAGTCTAGGGTTAAAGTTTGTTACACATCCATTACTTTGTCAAACCTTCATAGAATTTTATGAAACTTTGGCAGAAGTTTTTTTATGATTAAGAGATAATGTTTGAAGCAAACTTTTGAAAATATATTTTCATTTTCAGTTTTTTTCTGATAGACGGACTTAGTTTTTTACAGTTTACATTTACAGACAGTCTGGGATTAATGTTTTTTACATGATAAATTTGTAAACTTTCATGGATTGTTATGAAACTTGGACAGAAGCTTATCTTCAAGACCAAGAAATAGCATCTAAAGAAAAAAATTAGAATTTTTTTTCTTCAATTCTGTATTTTACTGATAAATGGACTCATTTTGTAAGTAAATATTACATTTTTACACTGACAGCAGCAATCGTAGGCGAGACACAGGTTCCGTGGAACCCCTTATAATTTTTTCAAAAAATTTGTCCTAATAATTCAATAAATTAAATTATCCATTGACTTTGCATGTGCCTTCACGATCGCATACCAGATCTTTCACAATCGTATCGCAATACTTGACCACCGTTACTTATTCTTTCACGATCATTTTTCTCGATATACCGAATGACAACCGTAACATGAACTTTAACTTATTTCAGAGTGCAGAAATAGAACGTCTATTTTCACTTTGCTGATGGGGGTTTACAGAATAGAGAATAATGGGCAAAACATATAAAAAATTGATAAAAATTGACCAAAAAATAAAGAATAGAGAATAATGAGATGTTAAAATATAATGATTAGAGAATAATGGGTTAAAAGTGCAAAGATTAGAGAAAAAGGGCTTAAAAATTAAAGAATATAGAAAGGAAGGACCCCTCATCCAGACCCTCATATATATCTGTGTGTAAAATGGCGGTTTGTTTTATAAGAACCATTGTTATTATAATTAAAAGTCCAATAATTCAAGATTAAAAGGTTAATATAGAAAAGCTTTTCATAGTTCGTATGTAAACATGGATTTGTACGTCATCGTGTGGGTTTTCCACATAAGATAGGCCAAGGAATGTATATTTTTACGTACGTTTAAAGCGTTACTTACGTAAATGTGTATTTTTTTTTATCAACCATTTATAATATTTAGTGGTCCAGATAACTGTGAAGACAGTGTTACATTCTCCTAATAAAATCATAAGAATCAACCAACTTTAGAATAACGCAATATAATAATTCAATAGGAAAACCTATTTCATTATTCATCTGTTACATCATTTAAGATCAGATCATTTTTAGATATATAACAAGTGTGGACACAGATCAGTGTGGATAGCACATGTACGTTTGTATGTTTGACAATATTTTCTTGGTTTCTGACAACAACAAAAAAATCTGTGATTTTTTTCCCCATAGTGTTCTATGTTAAACTGTGTCGTTTATTCAATATTTGGTTTTATGTTCAAGACTGTCATGGTGCATGGAGACACTATTTGTATGGATTACCAAATGATTCTGTTAAATACGTTCCCCATCTTTGTTTTTGGATAACAGAAAAAACTCAAACTTAGTAGAGAAACAGATTAGGTGCATTTCTGCATGATGTGATTTTAGTATGCAAAATGATTGTTTGTTGTTCTCATATGGTTCTATTTATGTCCGTTGTGGTGGTAATGTCTTACTTGAATCTGTAAATTAGTGACAGATTTTGTTTAAATTTTCGAAATTGTTTCTTAGAAGATGTCTAATAGTTCTAAGTAATGATAATACCTAGCATGCACATGGGACTTGATGAGCTTGAAAGTACACTTCTGTTGTATCAAACATGTTTTTAATTCTTTCTTTGGAAATGGCTTCTTCTTAAGAGTCTTAAAGGCCTGGTTGAAGTTATAGAAAAGAGAAAATTTTACCAGTAAGAAATAGTTTTGAAAACATGGTAATCCAATTTATTTTTAGATATATAATCAGAGGTAGCTGTGTAATACCTTGATAATGATGTGCGATGTAACGTCCAGTTGCAAGTTAAATGTATATTCGGGACAATTGCATGTTAATGTTATATGAATAGGAAACCTGGTTTGTACTTGACTGCTGAGCAGGATTTGTTACGTGCTGCTTCATAACGTAACAGTCCACAGGAAGACATGTCACCCAACCCGGACACTATAATTCTGACTAGAGGCCGATCAGTGTTTGCTCTTATTCCTAAATGCTGCGTACTAGCTGGAGAAGTAGCAAACTCCAAATTTCGAGTCTTTCGTTTAATCCGGCCGGAGATTGAAACAACAACTTCTCACAGTCGAGACAATCAAGCTAAGGCGAGACCACCGAGGTGGTATGATTGACTGTTGTTGTTTCTGTAAAGGAATAAGATATAAGAGATTTTTTTTTCTAAAGAATTGATTTCTAACAAATTGCATCCAACCTTTTGGGAAATTATCCAAACATTGCTAAGAATTTAACAAAAGTAATACAATGAAATTTATCAAAAACTTTATTACATACACAGCCATTGCTTGTCAATTGTTATATTGAAAAAATACTGTTGAAATAACATTATGTTGCAATTGTTTCTGTACCAATTACGAATTTGTACAATTAATCTCTTTTCTGATCAGTGATCCTCGAGACCATAACATTTGAAAACAAAAAGATAATTAAATGTTTAAGAGCTGATAAAAACAAAAAAAGACCAAAGATATAGCCAACCTAGGACAAGGAAGAAGAGCTTTGCAAATGAGATATACATTCCTTAAATAATTATTTCTTCTTCAAAACTTCAAAATGTAAAATATTTTACTGTGATAATCATCATATCTATATTTAGACACTCTTTAAATTTATATTTATTTTACTCCTATCCTTTTCCACAAAGATGTAGGGAGAACAAAAAAGTTCTTTTCTGTTTTCTCATAAATTATCATCAAGATAACTAGGAATTTTCGTACAAAATTGCAAAATTAATGGAACATGAAAATATAAAAAAACCTATTAAAAAGTGGAATAAGCATAAAAAAATCATAATGAACATAAATTTCTTAAAAAGTGATTTCCCTTCTGGTTGCATTCAACTGGTAAAATTGGTTTTTTTTTAATGAGGAACATATACATCATTTCTCTCTCTCAAGACAATTACCGAGGGAAACAATGCTATATTTTGGACTCCATTTCACAATGTAGCTGCTATTTCTACAAACTGGAGTACTAGCTATAGTAAACGAAAATTCATGCAATTGATTATCAAATGTCTGAAAAATTATGTCAGATCCAATCGGCATTTTTGACAGATATCAGTAACAATTATGTGCCATGTAATCAATTTAGATTCCTTAAAGCCCCACATTTTAAATTGGTGACTTCTTAATTAAGATAACACTCTTTAGATGTTTTTGCTTGCATTTTATTGGGTATTTTTTCAGGGTATCACTCAATGGATTTTACATCACAAAGTAAATTATTTGGTTTTGAAACACCAACACGAGTAGAACCATTATCAACAGATGAAGCAATGAATTTAGGGACAAAATTGCTTGGAGAAGTATTAGTTTATGGAGTCTCTGCATCATTTCTGCTTTATGAATACCACAAGTCGTCACCAAAAGAAAAGATCAAGGAGGAAAATAGACAGAATGAAAAAATAGAGCTTCAAGGAAAAATACAGGAATATTGGGAGATAACAGAAACAGAAATAGAAAATCTTAGAAGCAAAATATTTGAACTGGAGGCCAAAAATCGCCATTAAGAATATACACTGACCTCTCAAAAATCAAGATAATTTTCGATACAAGAAACTATTCTTATATATTTTGGTGCCTATAATCTTTTACATGTATGGTTTTCGAAAATTATTTAACCAATCTTTAAAACTAGTGCCACAAAACGTTTACTGAAGCATTAAGTAGTCATCAATGTTGTTAGGATCGACTTTTTTTCGTAACAATATTCTATCATATTTATTATAGACAGAGACACAGAGAAGTATTTGTAACTGCCGTTTAATAATTAGCCTTTTTACGATACCCTCCTCAAACAAAAGTTTGGGGGTGAATATAGAAATCACCATGCCTTTTTGTTTATACATTTGTATATTTGTGCGTCTGTCGTTCCAATGCATGAAACTGCAACTCTTCATTGACGACTAGTCAAGTATGATGAAACTTGACACAATTGAAGAACACTACCCGAGGATGTGCAATCAGGAAAAATTATCCTAGTTCTTATGCCTAGTTTTTGATCGGATACTCTTCGTTTCTCTGAACCAATTATAAAATTGAGAATGGAAATGGGGAATGTGTCAAAGAGACAACAACCCGACCATAGAACAGACAACAGCAGAAGGTCACCAACAGGTCTTCAATGCCACGAGAAATTCCCGCACCCGGAGGCGTCCTTCAGCTGGCCCCTAAACAAATATATATACTAGTTCAGTGATAATGAACGCCATACTAAACTCCAAATTGTACACAAGAAACTAAAATTAAAAATAATACAAGACTAACAAAGGCTAGAGGCTCCTGACTTGGGACAGGCGCAAAAATGCGGCGGGGTTAAACATGTTTATGAGATCTCAACCCTCTCCCTATACCTCTAGCCAATGTAGAAAAGTAAACGCATAACAATACGCACATTAAAATTCAGTTCAAGAGAAGTTCGAGTCTGATGTCAGAAGATGTAACCAAAGAAAATGAACAAAATGCCAATAATACATCAATAACAACAGACTACTAGCAGTTAACTGACATGCCAGCTCCAGACTTCAATTAAACTGATTGAAAGATTATGTCTTCATCATATGAATATCAGGCACAATCCTTCCCGTTAGGGGTTTAGTATCATACCATCATAACATATATGAGAAGAACATAACCCGTGTCATGCCAACAACTGGTTTTTAAATAAATGTGTTTAGTGCCGATGCAAAGACCCTATAAGTGAATCAATATTAACGCCAAAATATGCAATCTTTAATGACCTGACAACAGTATCGTAACTATATCCCTTCTTAATAAGTCTGTTTAAAGGTTTTGTTAGCTTCAGAGGTGAATACTGACATTTTTGTGCTTTATAAAGAATATTTCCATAAAAAATTGGATGTGAAATACCTGAACGTATAAGAAGTCTGCATGTTGAGCTATATTTACGAATGATGTCCTTATACCGATGATAAAATTTAGTAAATGTTTTGACTAGTTTGTGATATCGAAAACCCTGGTGTAATAATTTTTCAGTAATACATAAATTTCTCTCGTTAAAATCTGAAACATTGTTACATACACGAGCGAATCGTACAAGTTGAGATATATAAACACCGTAAGATGGTGACAAGGGAACGTCACCATCTAAAAAAAGATAATTAACGATAGGAAATGAAAAATCATCTCTTTTATCATATATTTTAGTATTAAGCTTTCCATTAGTGATATAGATATCAAGATCGAGGAAAGGGCAGTGGTCATTGTTAGTATTAGCTTTATTTAAAGTAAGTTCAACAGGATAAATTTCTTTAGTATACATACTGAAGTCGTCATTATTGAGAGCCAAAATATCATCCAAATATCTAAAAGTATTATTAAATTTGTGTATCAGATGTTGTTTCGATGGGTCTTTGCTGATTTTTGTCATAAATTGTAACTCATAGCAATACAAAAAAAGGTCCGCAATAAGTGGTGCACAGTTAGTCCCCATTGGAATTCCGATAACCTGACGATATACGGAATCTGCCTGCCAAATCCATGACATGACCTTATATTAATATAACCTTGACTTCGTTTTACTGGATTATTGGTAAATTTTAAGTTCTTGTGAAGTAGTCAGTTTCTCATATATTATAAGATATAGGAAAATGCATTTTCAAGGTTCATATGACTGTGTTTAGTTTTCTCAGATACCATTAGACTTAGGTCAACTATATTTCGAGTATATTTAAATGATTTTACAGTGTATATGTCTGTCTGACAGGGTTAATCTGTCCTTGACATCATTTTCCTGGTCCATTGGGCAATAATAATTATTGATGTTAAGTCCTTATCTCAGATACTAAAATTAATAGAAAATTTGATTACACAATTACCGAACTCCAATGTATATTCAAAAAGGGAAGTTTATAAAACCTGACTAAATCACACGTCAGAATATACTAACCAACGGAACGAGTGGAAAACAACTGTCATATTCTAGACTTGGTACAGGCATTTTTCGAGGAAAATTGTGTGTTAAACCTAGTTTTATAGCTAGCTAAACCTCCCACTTATATAACAGTTGTTTTGCAATTCCTGTTATGTTGACAAAATTGAGTGAGCAACCCAAACAGACGTAAATAATATGTAAACTATGTTTTGGTGTATGGAATGATTGCAAAGTGTACATATCTGGCAGGTATTGTCTGACATGAAAGTCATTGATTTCATTTTCATGGTTAATATAAAAAGAAGATGTGGTATGATTGCCCATGACAACTCTCAACAAGAGACCAAATGATACAGAAATTAACAACTCTAGGTCACCGTTCGTCCTTCAACAATGAGCAAAGCCCATACCGCAAAGTCAGCTATAAAAGGCCCGGAAATGACAAATGTAAAATAATTCAAACGAGAAAACTAACGGCCTAATTTATGTACAAAATAATGAACGAAAAACAAATATGTAACACAGCAACAAGCGACAGGCTCCTGACTTGAGACAGGCACATACAGAATGTGGCGGGGTTAAGACCGTTTCTCATATCCTATCAGCAATAGGTCCAATAGGTTGACATTACGTTTTCCTCGTCGTTTCTCAGATACTATAAGCAACTTTTTTTTTGGTGTATGGGGTGACTGTCGACATTGTTACTTGTAATGAAACCTTTATCTCAAGATAATGCTTGCTTTATTTTATTTTGCCTAAGAAGCTCCTATACGGAGTTTGCCTCGTATAAATAAAGGGACAAGTCTTAAAGAAGAGGAGCACAGTTGGTTCCATTGGGAATGCCAAAAGTTTGATAAAAAAAAAACATCCTAACGTAAAAAAGTTGCTTTTATCCAAGAAATCAAATATCATGATAAAATCAGTTTGAGAGAATTTTTTGTTTGAATCAGAGGTGAGCGATACCAAACAGATATTCAAACTCACATTACGAAAACAAACTGACAATGCTATGGTAAGAAACAACAAGAGTGCACACGCTGAAATGTCTCGCCTTCTTTATTAATCATTGATATTATGTTTATAGTCCTAAATATAAAGCTTTACTACAACTATCACATAAACTTAACATGATCCAAGAAAATGAGGTCAAGGTCATATAAACCAAACAAGAAATACATGTACACCATACAATCATTCAATACACTGAATATAGCTGACATATTGCTTATAGTTTCTAAGAATCCGACTTAACCCAGAAAACTAAACATTGACCAATGAACCATGAAAATGAGGTCAAGGTCAGATGAACCATGCCAGGCAGACATGTACAGCTTACAATTCTTCCATACAAGAAACATCGTTGACTTATTGGTCATAGTTTAAAGAAAAACAGACCAAAACACAAAAACTTAACACTGAGCAATGAACCGTGAAAATGAGGTCAAGGTCAAATAAAATCTGTGAGACTGACATGTACATTATAAAATATTTCCATATACCAAATATAGTTGACCTATTGCATATAGTATAAGAAAAAAAGACCAAATCTCAAAAACTTAACTTTGACCACTGAACCATGAAAATGAGGTCAAGGTCAGATGACACACTTCCAGTTAGACATGTACACCTTACAGTCCCTCCATACACCAATTATACTAGACCTATTGCCTATAGTATCTGAGATATAGACTACCACCAAAACTTAACCTTGTTCACTGATCCATGAAATGAGGTCGAGGTCAAGTGAAAACTGACTGACGGGCATGAGGACCTTGCAAGGTAGGCACATACCACATATAGTTATCCTATTACTCATAATAAGAGAGAAATTAACATTACAAAAAATCTTAACGTTTTTTTCAAGTAGTCACTGAACCATGAAAATGAGGGCAAGGACAATGGACATGTGACAGACGGAAACTTCGTAATATGAGGCATCTATATACAAAGTATGAAGCATCCAGGTCTTCCACCTTCTAAAGTATAAAGCTTTTAAGAAGTTAGCTAACGCCGCCGCCGCCGCCGGATCACTATCCCTATGTCGAGCTTTCTGCAACAAAAGTTGTAGGCTCGACAAAAACTTCCTAAAGACAAACAACTGTCTACAAAACACAGCACAGAAAACTAAAGACTGAGCAATACGAAGCAAATCAAAAACTTTGGGTGATCTCATGTGCTTCTGAAGGGTGAGAAGATCCTGATCCACATGTATCACGCAGCGTGCTACTGATGTTAGTACAAACCCGGTGATAAGTCTAATTCAGTAGGTCACATGCGAGGAAAAGAGGACGGGACTGTGGTTAAGACAATTGGTACATACACATCTTCCTATATCTATTCTTTAACGGTCAACCAACTCGTAATGGGTTCCGAAAAAACTTTCAAAGGGAAAAATCTTGAAATCCTGCAAAATTTTTCAAAATTTGTCCATACCAAGTGCACATCTTCATTGCACGTTGAAAACTATAAAGAAGTTGATTGTGCAATAAAAGTAAACCTTCCAAGACAAAACATAGAAAAACAACCAAAAGACTAAAGTGCTGAATATTTAAAGTTTATCTCCATAACGCTATATTTGTTTTCATTTTCATTTTAAATGTTTTATTAATATTTGACGATGTCAAATGAACTAATCTAGATATACACGTGTAGTTTACGATCACCCCACACACCAAATAAAGTTGCTTATAGTATCTGTCGACATTGGTACTTGTAATTAAACCGTTATCTCATAGACATTATTGAATTTATTCATGATCATATAAGCAGACAAATATTTAAATTAACCCTTTCAATACCACAGTAGTTTTACATTGAGATCACTGTAAAAATTTAATGATTAAACAGTTTAACTTTGAGGAGTTTGGGATCAAAACTATTGATTTAAACAAAAATTAAACGAAGCATCATCTTAATTCCAGCAAATAGAGAATTAGATGATCAACTCTTATTCATATCATTTTTTTTAATTTCCTGAATATGTAATTGAATTATGAACTGTTCAACTACTGAACTGTTCAGTTAGAAATTCAGAAAATGTGATATTCTGATATGAGGCAACTGTATAACTTCATTTTGTAAATCTACACCCATGAAGATCGACCTTTTAATATCAATTAAAATGCCTTTTCAAAACTTTTGCTTGAAGTTTTCTGATATTTTTCTTGAATGTACAGAGCTATTGAACGTGTGCTAACGAAAAAAGCAAGGACTTAAAAATCATAAGATATCAAGAGATTAACATTTTTAAAATAATATGAATGTGTCAGTGCATGCAAAATGCATCCTTTAAGACACGCATAACTGTTTGTATAAAGAAACCAGAACAATTAATTGTATTGCTTATTCAAAGTGTATTTATTATGCTATAAGGTAGGCAGAGAACATAATGTAGTGGCCCTCACTGCTGTAAAGATAAGAATGATTACTGTCACCGCCTCTTACAGTTAATTTGTCCCCTTTCTTTAAATGTAACACAATATTAGCAGTAGCTTCACTATAGCCAGTGCCAGGGTACAATCCAACCGTCCTTGTCTCATTCTGCCAAATGTTAGCATAAACAGTTTTTCCTTCTACTGACATGACTGTAGTAGATACATGGTACAGTCCTTCCCTTGAAGCTATGAAAATTCCCGTGTTAGGATCATAGTGATTTCCATTGTTTGTCCAAACTTTTTCGAACTTCACAATTTCTTTGTCATTGATATTCTTGGTATATGATAAGGATGCAGTAAAGGCTGGAATATATCTCCAATTTCTGGTGTTTTTAAAATCTATTGGAATACAGAAATCAAGATTTAACACCAAATTTTTTATACACTGCTTTTCTGAAAGTTACATTTCACATGTCTTAAAAAGTAAAATCACAAAAATACCGAATTCCGAGGAAAATTCAAAATGGAAAGTCCCTTATCAAATGGCAAAATCAAAAGCTCAAACACATCAAACGAATGGATAACAAACTGTCATGTTCCTGACTTGGTACAGATATTTGCTAGTTGCCATTGCATTGTCAGTTTGTTCTTGGTACAGAAGACCATAATTCATGAGTGTGCATTAAAGTGACAGTAGCATTTCGATGTTTAATTCTCAAAAATCGATATGAAAGAATCGTGACTGATTTTTCTATGAAGGTTAATGGAGAATATCCGTTTCATTTCTCTTGAATTAATCCTATTGTAACTGTAGTGAATTTCTTATTTCTAACTTAAAAGATGACTTAAAAATCTCTGCCATTGTAGTAAGACTGAAAGAGGTAGGGCCAATTTCCCCTGAATTTTTTTCACAGAAGGGCCAATTTCAAAAAGTGCTTAAAGAATAAAATTTACGATAAAAACATGAAATAAAAATGTTTTTTGGTCAATATCTCGATTTTTATGTATTATGTTATGTCTGGAAAATAGTTAATTTAACCTCCAAAAAAGGATGAAAGTCAAATATGCGGAATTTACCGTGTTTTTAGGTTGGAAAAACAGGGAATCCCCCTAGAAGGACACTTCAAACCAAAACAAAGTTATGTTTTTTGTTGTTGTTGTAATTTATACAACTTTTCTCCTCAAAAATGAAATTGGTTTAGTGTGTCCTTAATACCTAAAAAACAACTTTTTTAATAAAAAGTGAAACATCACTAAATTTTACCTATATAGCTGCTTAATATCGATTTAGTTTTCAAGAGTCGCCGTGGCTCCATCGGTAGCGCTTAAAACTGTAAATAATGAATTGTTTTTAAGATGGGGTTCAAATCTCACGGTAATTTTTCTCATTTTTTATGTTGAAATATTAAAATGTTATGTTTCTATCACCTTTTTTTCGGATGTTTGTTTAATTCAAAGAGTCACACTGAAATAGGTGCTTGTACATATATATATAACACGAGAATTGAATAGTTCACTGAATATAGAAAATGATAGTACGAGTGGGGCATCCTTGTACTATGGACACATTCTTGTTTAATATTTTGTTAGTTTTAAGTTAAACAAAGCTGTGAAATACTGTACGCTACAAATCACCTACCAACATTAACACGTTAACTGAAGCACCATTTTTTTTAATACAAAAATAATTTTGAATATCTATTAGTTGACAATTCATATTTTAATGCTTCTCAGGGGCATTTACAAACAAAGTCATTTTTTTTTTTAGAATATTGTAATCTCTTTAAAACTCGATATCACTACCTTCAAATATTATATTTATTGTAGCTTTATGGAGATTTTTACATTCCAGCCTTCTCAAATTAGCGAAAGATTTCGATGACGATGTGGTTTTTTCCCAGTTTTCTACTAACTATCAATATTGGTTTAGTTAACAAAAAAAAAATCAATAGTCTTGGCCTTGAATATTGTAGGAATACCTGTTCAACGTATGAAAATAGATGATGTGACGTGTTTTCATATACTATAATTAGTATCTATCGGGCTATTTAAAAACATGATTTACCTAGCTAATCAAATGAAAAAAACTCACGGGAAAATGGCCCTACCTCTTTCTAATTTAACTGTATTATTCCTCTGAATTTAGCTTCAGTATCTAAATTAGTTAATTTCTAGTAATAATTAAGTTATATTGATTTGTTATTAAGGCTAACTAATAAACCTAACAGACTGTTGATAAGAAATGCTGAAAAGCATTAACTTTAAAATTTCCTAAAATCTGACAAACTGATGGTAAAGATCAAAAACAACAAAAAGACTCCACCAGTATATCTAGTTTCACATTGTCTCATCGCCTGAGGAAATCCCCAGACTAATTATATTCAGAAAAAAAATCATCATTTAAAGCATACCATTACAATATTCATATATAAAAAGTAAAATTAAAAATTTACTTTGAGTAGTATACGATATGAATGAAAGTGAAATAGCACAAAGGCAAGTAGTGCTTGTTTTCAAATTCATTAAAACTTTAAAAATCTGCACCCCCTTCTTTACTTAAAGGCCAGCTCATGTAAAATAATCGTTTATATAACTTACCAGCTCCTCCTTTATATTTAACTAACATTGTCAAAAGGTCTTCAACTACTGCATTATCTGCATAAAAAAGTTTTCAATAAATAAATACTAGTCATTGACAATCCTGAAACGAAAAGTGAATTATTTCATTAAGCAAAGTTAAATGTACCAATACAACCACTAAGACGTAATGCTATCATAATCATTATAACGTGCTTTCTAGATAAAACACTTATTCACATTGATAAACTGATTGGATTTTGTTGAAGTCCAGTGGCAAATATTTCATGAATGGTTTAGGAATAGAACACATTAACAATTAATACTATAGGTTAGTTAACCACAATGAAGGGCAGAAAATTTGGACTGCAACTGGTAAATAAATTATCATAGATACTAGGATTTGAATTTTGTACGCCAGGCGCGCATTTCGTTTTCAAAAGGCTCAGCGGTGACGATCTCATAAAAAAGTTAAAAAGGCCAAACAAAGAACAAAGTTGAAGAGCATTGGGGAATAAATGAGTTAAAAAAGGGACAGAAATTTACTTGTCCAACAAGTCACTAAGGAATCAACGACCTCCTTTAAAAAGAAGTTGCATGGTTCTTAAACGCGTAGAGATCCAAGCATCAGATGAAACATATATTTTTAAACAAAACAAACTATTTGAACAATGTGTACTGTCTTAAAATACTACATTTTAAAGTTGAATAATAAACCTACCAAGTTTTGGACTGCAGTCGGCTGTAGCCATAATCATCAGTTGAAAGAAAGCAAGTCCAAAAGTAAACATCATTTTCTTTCTTTATAGGGTTAGTAACACTGTTCATACATTGAAACACACAACTCCTTTAATGTATGAATTCTTGAGAATGTTGACACTAACTAATTTTCATTTCGATTGCATGACTACATTTCATTTGTAATTCAATATGGTTAATTGCTTTTTATCGTGATGCTTTTGAAACAGATTTTTAACAACCTCAACTAAGCTGCAAAACTGTTTTAGTCAAAAGTATGTTTCAATACACAGTATTTTATATAATGTTATAACATTAATGGTACCAATATAACTGCACCAGACAATCAATTTCTACTCAAAATATCCGTTAGTTCATGACAGTACCAAAGTACTGTCAATAAGGCTTCGTAATCAACCCAGTGGTAATAAACTATTAATAACATTTAAGGTACCAATTTTACTGCTGCACCAGATGCAAATTTTGACCGCCAAAGTCTGTTCAGTGATGCTTTAGCCAAAATATTTGAAAATTTATAACTTATTCAAAATTGAAGAGCTGACAATTCCAATAATGGACAAAAGTAAAGCCGAAGCTGGTCAAGGAATCGGAGCTTTGCATGAGGGAGATACATTTCTTGATATCAAATAATTTCCAAAATTTTTTAACATCAAATTCAAATCACATAATATACCAAGTACTGATTTTGAATCTGCAGTTTCTTTGTGTTTGCATTTTTTGTGAGTGTGAAGTATATTTTGTGGCATGAATTAATAAGAGAGCGGCTGAAAATGCCAAAGGGACATTCAAACTCCTTAGTTGAATACAAACTGACAACACCATGGCATAACCATATCCTCTCCTTCCTATTATTGTAGTCATTAAGGATGCAATATGACATTATTTTTTTCCACCGTTTTCCATTCATTAGTATGTATAGTTGACATCCACAGTTGAACATATTATAGCTTTTAAGTAATACCTATCCTTCATTTCATTTTGCCATCCTTATTTTTTAAAGTTCTGCGAATGAAAAAAACGTTATATGTTCACTTCAGGTAAACTAAAAACAATAAGTATATAACGAAACAGATTTATTTATATATTTGTTTGAATTTTTTAGTCATTTGTGTTTGTATGCTTTCACAATTTTGGCTACTGGTTTCAATTATTGGGAAAGTGTTTTTGAAATTATGTTATGCAATACTGTATGTACTATCAACTACACAATTTTTGTTTGTGTTTTTGTCTCTGTCATATGTTTTTGCATGTCTGTTTAAATTTTGAAATCAGTTGTGTTTGTATGTCTGTTTAAATTTTGAAATCAGTTGTGTTTGTATGTCTGTTTGAATTTTTAGATCAGTTAGGTTTGTATGTCTGCTTGAATTTTTAAATCAGTTGTGTTGTATGTCTGTGATTAATGTTTACACAGTTTTGACTGCTGGATCCCAATTATTGTCATGTTTATCAATTATGTCTGTTTGGGTTGCTTACCCAATTTTGTCAATATAGCTATTAACAACTGTCATACAAGTGGGAGGTTTAGCTAGATATAAAACAGATTTGAACCCGCAATTGTTTTTCTAAAATAACTGTACCACATCAGGAATATGATAGTCAATTTTAATTCGTTACGTTGGTTGAAATAGTTAAGAGTTTGATTTTGCCAGGTGTTATGGACCTTCCCACTTTTTTTTAATTTACTTTGGAGTTCGGTATTTATGTTATTACTTTTTTAGACTCATAGAGGATTCTAGTTTTATCTATATAAATAAAATAATAAATCAGGACAAACAGAATATTTTGAAAATGATGTCAAGCTCTTTATCATGATTCTTTTTCCATGCATTATTGAGTGAAGCTGACAAATATATTATACACACAATTTGTTTCAAATATTATATATAACTACTTATAATTTGTCATAAAAAAATCCAAAATCTGACCACTGGACGAAATGAGTTTGTCGTTGGTTCATGTCTGTTATATTTGATTTTCTTAATTGTTTTGTTATAAATAAGGTCGTTAGTTTTCTCAATTGAATTGTTTCATATTTTTCATGTCGATCCCTTTTATAGCTGACTATACGGTATGGGTTTTTCTCATTATGAAAGATCGTAAGGTTGCTTATAATTGCTTACATCCACTTCATTTGAACATTGGTGGATAGTTGTCTCATTGGTAATCATACCATATCTCTTTATTGTTATATTAAGGTCAATTTGCAAGCAAACTGCACATAGTCATTCTTCAAACAAACAATTTATATAATATTAGTGTACAGTATTTTAGGGACAAACCAAATCAATAAGATTTAACTTGACCACTTATTGATAAAAATGAGGTCTGAATTCAGGGAAAGGATACATTCCTTGTTCAGAAATTTACAGGAAAATATTGAAGATTTACCTCCATTTGTTACTAAGAAAGAAAAAAATCTACTTAATACAACGTTTTAAATCTTTAAGCTGTAAAGATCATGAAAATGTGACCAAGTTCACATATCAGCTTTCAATCCTTATTCAAACCATAGACTTATCAAATGTTGTTGTAATGTCCGTTTATGTACTGAGGCAACCAAATAAAGTCTTACTCATAAATGTTATAGTGTCTTTTTTAATGACCAGCAAGGTAAGACATAAAGGAGTACAATTTCAATTCACATCGACAGACATTCAAAACATTTTATTGGTAGACAAAATATGCACAAAAATAAAATAATTTATATTTATTCCCATTTTTTTTTTATTGAAATATGTACTGGTTTTACACAAAGCACACACAACATTTCAGATTTCTTATTATAAAAACACAGCTGGTACAAAAAACTGCTCGTTATTGGAAAGATTTAAAAGCTTGAAATCCAAAGCATCTTCAACTTTAACATATATTTTATATATATTTCTACAGGCTTCAATTTTTTATTATCATACATTATTTAAACATATCAAAACGTATGATCAATGAATGTGTATGAACATTTTCACAAGAATAATAAAGAAAATGAGCTCAGTGCTACCCAGAGTTACTTCCCCTTACAATACAAGATACAAGAAGATAACACACTGATATTCCTTCGTTAACAAGTAGAGAAGCCATCAGGACTTTATACAATTTCAGATTCCACATTATATACAATTAAAATTTTCTCTTCAAGAAAGTTACCCATGCGATAAATCAAAGGCCTATTATATCTGACAAAAACTTTTCATTACTTACATTTTTTAAAAGTGACAGTAAATTGTCAAACACAATTGCTGTAGCTAAATATAAAAATGCATTTCTCTTGCAAGAATTTGCAACCACAAATGATGACAAATAATAATAGCACGAAACAAATATTTAGAGAAGCTGTATAAATTATCTGGGTCTTGCTTGCATAATTTACATCAATAAATATTTCACCATAGAAATCTTTAAAAAAAAAAGCTTTTTAATGATGTGTATTGTTGTAAACCTGGGTTAAAAAAAAAAATTCTCTGTGTCTAAAGTCTATTATATACACACATAAATATGTTATATAACCTGAATATAAAAATGTTTTATCATGACAAAGTTGTTGCCAATAAACATCTAACATTATTTGGTATTTACTTATATAAAATATACACTTTCATTCATTATCATATCGATTATCATCAAAAATATTCTCTTTGATTAAAAAATGATACATTTATGTGTATCAATTCTGAAAGTTATGTGAAGTTGATATTTGATTCCATTTTATCTAAACATTTATACATATAAAAATATGTAAGGATGAATGATGCCCAAAAAATATATACGGGTTTTATTGTATCGCATAGTATCCTGATTTTACTATATTAAATACCTCTGACACCTTCATGAATTTATATATTTTACTTTCTAATCCTTGATTTCCTTCATCTTAATCAACATTTTCATTCATAATTCAGCTTTTTTCTATTTCGTGCTGTTCTGTCATAATTCCTTATTCATGTACATGTATTTGTCTTTGCAGATGTGCTATTTTGAAATTTCTCTCTTCTGCCTTTGATCATATCATATTTTGGAGGCCTCTTGTATTCAAATAATAAATTCCCGTGGAGATTCCATAATCTATTTAGTAATGTGATGTTGATAATTGATTCCATGTTGTTTAGACACTCATACTCAAAAACTTTGTAAGCACATTTAATATTAGTTTAGTATAAAAGCAGTTTCTTACATTATTTTTATCCTGATTTAAGAAAGGAAAACAATTTGCTTGCTAAACTCGTATTATTGTCCTCTAATTGAAACATTTGTCTTCTCAATTCTTTAATTTCAGTTGCTTGCTGTTCTGTTACAATTCCATAATCATGTATTTTTCTTTGAAGTGTAGCTATTTCAAACTTTCTCTTTTCTTCCTTGATCTGATCATTTCTTGACGACCTGTTGTATTCATATAACAGAAGTCCTGCAGAAATTCCATATACTAATGTTTCTCCAAGTAATCTTGTACCTAAACGGTCAGCTTCGTCGTCTGATAATGGTTTCACTTCTATTGGTTTACCATGTAATTTACTTTGTAATGTAGAATCCATCGAATTGTACCCTGAAAAAAATTACAATTAAAAACCTAAATTGAGAAGATGTCTTTTTAGACCTTGTGCGTTCAATGAGCCTATGTTAACTAAAAGTCATAATTGTTCCTAACACCTGTCAAGAACAACGATAGAATCTGATATTATTTGATGCCACATTATGATATATATTATAAAAAGTAAAATAACAAAAATACCGAACTCCATGGAATTTTTAAAACGGAAAGGCCCTTAACTAATGGCAAATTCAAAACCTCAAATACATTATATTATTGTTATATCAGTTGTAAGATGTAAGTAAAAATAACATTAAATCAGCTGGTTATGAAAAGCTAACACTTATTATGTATGGAATGTTATGTTCTGATACAAAATGAAGTCATATTGGAATAACAAAGCCAGATATTATCCTTATTAAAAGTTTGTATTCATTAACATAAAACATCATAAAAGACCCTACGAACTGAATGAAAACATACCACTAAAGTATGAATAGAATGAAATTATGAATAAATGATTTGCTAGGAACATATCAATTAGACATCAACCAAACCAAACCAACAAAAAGAAATACAGCAGTCAACATACGGTCAACGACAATACAAATAAAACAACACAGTAAAAACCTTTTGCATCCGAATGGTATATATGACGTCTCTTTTAACGACCTCCTGGTATTGATGCAGAAGCCGTTCTGAATACATCTCAACCGCGCAAAGCTGTATTCACTGCCCCTTTTGATACTTCAATAATTGTTAAGATGCATGTTTGGTGCATTAATATTGATACTGTAATCGTAATTATTCTATACAACATATGTTTGAAACTCCGGTTACAAATCCCCATTTCTAACTTATCAAAACTACAGCCATCCTCAGGGATATTATGTATCAACAACTTTTTAGACCAGGCAGTCAATATCGGATTAGTTGTAATAATTTCCTTGCCATCTTTGATTGAGATGCTATCCATTTCTATGTGGTAAATCTTCAGCAACGCCTGCATATGGAGTATATATCTCCAAATTGATACGATACTCCAGAGCTTGAGATTCGTATCAGGATTTCCTTGATATAGGGTTGCCGCTCACAAGGAAGCTTTTAAACCAAGATATCCAAGTGGTGAAGTTTAAATCATTCCTGCAAAAAATTTTACGGACGCCGTTAAGAGTTGGTTGATCGTTATGGAATATCTGTTTCACAGATGACGACGGACAAGTTCCAATCGTCCAATCGCAATCCCTTCCTCTCATTTTCCCCCAAAGTGACCTACCGAATAAGACTTATCACGGGGTTTGTATGTAAACGAGCAACACGACGGATGCCACATGTGGAGCAGGATCTGCTTAACCTTTTGAAGCACCTGAGATCACCTCCGGTTTTAGGTGAGGTTCGTGTTGCTCAGTCTTTAGTTTTCTATGTTGTGTTTTGTATACTGTTGTATTTGCCATGACGCTGTTAGTTTGTTTTCGAATTGTGAGTTTGAATGTCCGTTTGGTATATTTAGCTTCTCTTTTATCAACTTGAGCAATTTTCTTTATTAAATATAAGTCTAATAAAAAATGCCTCACAATTTTAAAGATCCGTCTTTTCGTATCATCACCTACACATATATTACGACGTATAGTGACTAAAACTTTCAACAACAAACACGTGTTTTAGGATATCGATATCGACAACTTTAAGTCTAAACAAGCGGATTGCACCTCACTGTGTAATTTCCCAATTCATATGTAATCGGGGTAGCCATATTGTTACTGGTGACCTAAACATTGTCAAAAACACTTATATATGAAATATGTTAAGCATAGTAACCGAGATACAGTGAGTCTAAACTTGAAACATAACTTAATAAATATACCAATTAATGTAATCGAGAATTATGCCTGACAATGTGCTAAAAAAATAGTCGACATATACCAAAGGAGACACAAATACTCAAGACGAAGAGAAAGGACATTGCCATGGCAAACGTGTAAGCGTGAAACGAATACGTAGATAATTCGTCAGTGTGAGTAAAGGCTATGAGGTTGGTCCTTAATGGATATATGAACACTCGTGCTACATCTACTATGAATCATAACTACTTTCAGCAATCAAATCCGGATTTACCATTTTATATTCCTTTTTCTAAACTTAAGGAAATTTTGGAAGAAATAGTTCACATTTCTGCTTACGCTTCCGGAGCACCTGAGATCACCCCCGTTTTTAGTGGGGTTCGTGTTGCTCGGTTATAAGTTTTCTATGTTGTGTTCTGGATACTGTTGTTTGTCTTTTGCTCGTTTTTCGTTTTTCCATGGCGTTGTCAGTTTTTTTCCGACTATAAGTTTGAATGTCCCTTTGGCATCTTTCGCCTCTCTTTTTCAAATTTGCTTGATAAAAAGAATAGCCAACGTACATATACATATCTTGGTTTAGGAAGGAATAAATCTTAATTTTAGTAAAAACACTTTGATTCAAACAAAAAGTTATCTGAAATTTTACATTATAAAGATGTTTTTCATTTTTTTTATACACAACACATTTTTTACGTTTAGAAGGGGATTTCCCACAGAAAGTCGTAATTCCTTTGGGAACCAGTTGTACTACTCCTCTTTCTTGCTTAATAATTTATTCATATGAGGTAGACAAAAATATCTCAGGAAGAATGAAAAGCCGCTAGTACTGTACCTTAACATTATGTCCTGCCTTTAAGACGATGTCCTCTAATTGAATAAGGCAACGCTTGGTGACTATGTCCTATCGAACGTGCAAAGTTATTGAACAGATTATGAGGAATATTAATGCACAGGTGAAGAAATCAAATGTTTTATATTATTGCATCGGAAAGGGGTTTAGATCGCAAAACTCATGTAAGTATTTAAACAGATTTTTTTATCCACATAATTATGATTTGCATCGCCCATATATAGGTAGGTTGACAGAAAATCTTAAGCCTGGTTTTGATTGCTGATAAAATCGATGTAAATAATTAAAATAAAGGTTTGGTGGATTAATAGGCAGACTTAACAGCATAACGTTGCTTGTTATGACACAAATGTAATTAGTAGGAAAATACCAAAAGGATATTCAAACTCATAAGTCGATGACATGTAAATACTTTTACAGATCTAAGATTTTTTTAGTATGCACATATGGTTTATACCTCCCATATATAGGTAGGTTGACAGTAACTATTAAGCCCAGTTTTGATTGCTGATAAAATTGATTTAAATGGTTTAGATAAAGGTTTCGTGGAGCATTTTGCAAACGCAGCAATATAACTATGCTTGTTATGAAAATAATGTAATTTGGGTATCCGGTAGAGATAAGAAAGATGTAAAGGTCGACAGTTTTTACATGGCCAGTCGAATTTTATTCAATTTGGGAGCAGGCATAGGTGTATTTAAAAAAAATTAACTTGAAGTCGTCAACATTAAGATCTTAAATATGAGTAAAATCACTACCTATTGTCTTGAAATTTAAGTACAAATACCTTTAATGACACGATGCAATTTGCCTGGGTATCCATCAATAATACTAATTCGGTCACATTGGACATGAACTGTTAATGAATATATATCATAAGATGAGCAGAGTATTTTTTGAAGATACCATAGAAGAATTAATACTAAAATTAAAATAATTTTCCTCGATAACCTAAATATTGCCATTACATTTTTTGTACATATAACTGTTTTTCAATTGCAACGGACGTAATTTAAAATCGGTTAAAAGGAGATTGTTCAATAACATATAATTTTGGCCCTTAAAAGCTGTTTTTTTAACACCGATTATGAATACTAAGCAGATCAACAACTGTTCTTATTATGTTTTCAAAGATTTTACATTTAGCAATACATACACAAGATTTAACCAAACAATTGAATTTTAAAAAATACATCTTTACAGGGCTGTTTATGGAGGCTAATAGCTTTACTCCTCATCATGTGATGCACTGGCGTGTTAGAAAAAAACCCATATTTTTTTACTCACCCTTTTAAAACAAGGTAGATAATACAAAATTAGAAATCGTGGACAATTTTGATATCCAAATAAGACAAGTTCGATACCTGTATCTTGGCATTGCACATTACACTGTTAATGACGTCTTTACACTAAATCCATTGGATGTTGGATGTGAACTGCTATTTTAGTCCTAGATTTTGTTTTCTTATTAAATTGTTATTGGCTTTGAAATAGCAGTCAGTAACTGCGAATACTCTCATATCTGTAAGCCTGCAATTCAGTAATTGTCGTTTGTTGCTGTATATCATTTTTTTTTTCGTTCATTCTTTTGTACATTGATCAGGCCGTTATTATTTATTTCGTGTAGAGTATTTCAGTAGAGAACGTAACGTCCTTAAGTGTAAACTATATATTTACCTTGGGGGAAATCCCAACGATGACGTACAAAAAAGTGTAAACAATCGTACTATGGAAATCTATTCCATCTACTGCCTTTTAATCATGAAATAATAAACTGTCATTATGTAGTAAAACATTTTAAAAAAGGAAGGAAAATGAAAAAAAAAAAAAACATTTTACACAAATATACCAGCATTTACACTATATACTAAAATCGAATCCTAAATTGTCCCTGACCAAAATGAAAGTAGACTTTTTTTTTATTTAAGCATTCTTAAATGAGATATAGAATTGTTAATATCCTAAATATATGATTATTTAACAGTTCTTACTTTGAGCAATTCCTACGAAAACTGAACGAAGTTTTGGATTTTGCTTTGCCGATTCACTAACACTATTTGCAACTGGTCTTTTAAACTGTTCGATTAGTAAATTGATCAATTTTACAATTGATGATTCCTTATAATTGTCTGCATTCAGTTGGAGCTGTCTTCTTTTTCTAATTCTATTTGAAGACGCCTGGATAAGTAATTTAGCTTGTTGTCGAAAAAATTTTGCTATTGGTAATACCATGACTATATCTGCATTGATGCATTGAGGTGGAACGGTAGTATTTACTTTTGTGATCAAGGTAATCTCGGTTACACAAACGCTTGAATTTTGCAAACAAACTTCTGTGTTTTTTTTTAGCCTGAAATTTTAATGCAACTGGGTGAAATAAAAAGTATTCATTATTATTATCACATTGACATGGAGCAGATGTTACCTGTATAAAAGTACGGAGTCCGTATAAGTAGCTGTCTTAAAGAACACGAAAAAAAGTATAACCGTAACACTTAATAGATACTGAATAAATGAGTAATACCAAAACTACTGAAAAGTACAACGGATGACATCAAGCACCAAAAAGAGACTCATTAAAAAGAGACATGCGAACAAAATCGAACAGCAAGGAAAAGCGCATGATCCAAATAACCATACATGGTTAGAGCACAGAATGGGGTGAGGATTAACCAATTACTATAAAATCATAAGTTAGTAATAAACTTTATTCAAAGTCGGCTAATATGTACACTATAACAAATGAAACATGAGCTCTGAAGAACTCTAATCATGGAGCTTCATATAAATGCAAATAAATAAAAAGGCATGCAAATAAAATGAAAGCACAGTATTCTTGATTTCTGAACCTCCAGGGTCATGCCCATGCGGTAAACACCTCTATGTACATTTAATGGGAGAACCAGCAATCACTGAAATATCAAAATTTAAAAAATGTAATAAAAACCAAAAAAAAAAAAAAAAATAAAAAAATAATTAAGAAAGCACTGGCATTTAAAAGCAGCTATATATTTTAATGCAAAAAAAAAAGCAGAGCAAAAGGCCAGAAAAAAGGAGGAAATTTCAGCTTTGAGGCAGCACTTGATAAAAACAGCTTGAACTGCAATTACATTATTCTCCCATACTAAGAATTTATATAATTCCTAATTAAATCAAAAGAAGTCATAGTTCTTGCCACATTGGGATGGAAATTCCATATTTGTGCTGATTAAAATCTAAAAGATCTTTCACCATAACTTGAGGTTCTTGGTCTAGGTACCTCAGCAGTGTTCACATATCTGACATTATATGAATTGGTTTTTTTTTTTATATAGCAAGCAGCATATTTGACGTATTTTATTATTTATTTTTAAGTTCTCAAAGGCAATTGTGTGTGCATTCTTCAAGTTTTTAGTGAAAGTAGGTTTGAAATCTGCAGAAGTTTTTCATAAGAATTCTGATAGTTATCATGAGTAAAGCGAAGCGTACGTTCTTGTAAAAAAATCTATTTGTCTTGTTTTTTGTTTCGCTCAGAAATGCCAAGTCATAGGATAATAACTGAAGTTAGACATAAATTAATAAACAGTTGTAAGTTTTCTCAGACTGTTTATGTTTTTCCAATTCTTTTCATTTAATTGCCTTGCATCCTTTTAAAAAATATTTGAAATTGAAGTTTCTAAAATTAGTTGTTACTCAAAGTAATTTAACCTCATTTTCACATGATATAGAAATACAATTTAAATCATAATGGCAAAAAGAAATCAAGTTTGATAAAATGAGTGAAAAATAATAAAGTATTTTTGGTCAGTTTTTTTAATAAGTGATAAAAAAAAACCAAATGATATGGGGTTACCATCAATGACACAAAATCAGAACATGCACAGTAAAAATCACAAAAAGCAAAGGAACAGCACTTTGTTGGTGTTCTTCATCTCAAAGTCACAATGATGCCTTTAACACATCTCCCCTCACTGCAAGTTTATGACGGTCCCTAGCACAGGTTTAATAATAATTCTTTGCAAAATAATTCGGATACACTTTGTAGACGCAACACCACCAAATCGGGCCCGGTCAAAAAGAACATACTGAAAAAAGAGAGACGAAAGATACCAGAGGGACATTCAAACTCATAAGTCGAAAATAAACTGACAACGCCATGGCTAAAAAAGAAAAAGACAAACAGACAAACAATAGAACACAAAATACAACATAGAAAATTAAAGACTAGGCAACACGAACCTCTCCAAAATCTGGGGTGACCTCAGGTGCGCCGAAAGGGTAAGCAGACCCTACACGAAATGTGACACCCGTCGTGTTGCTCCTGTTAGTACAAACCCGGTAATAAGTATTATTCGGTGAGCAGTAAATATCTAAAACAAAATAGTTCCTAAGCATAGGTGTAAATATCAATCTATGTAGACTCTATTTTGGTAATTTATGTATCCAATGAAAATTGAAGGACTGGTGATCCTTGTAGAACACATTTTAACTGATAATTTTGAATAATACAAAAATATATGAATGAATCCTAAAATTGAGGGCATATTTTGTCTGTTTCTCAGATATGAAGTACCTAGTTTGGTGCATCCAAAGTTCCGGTAACAAGTACAATCTGATGTGTAAATAAGGGTTTATTGATCCCACCCCCATACATGTTTGAAAGTGAAAAATATAACGTGGAAAGGAATGGGTGCCAAGAATAGGTGTTGTGTGTCATATTAAAGATTTGGTACACAAACTGGCCTAAAATTGAGAGACTGATGGAACATATAAGAGATGTTATCTCAAATTTAATACACCATAACTTAAAAAAAACACAGGAGAACATAAACCTCAACTCTAGAGTATACAGCTACATGCTGGTTCAAAGTACTCAGTGAGATGTAAATAACATATATCTAACTATTTTGATAATCAAATAATCAAATTTATTAGATTAATCCAATAAGCAGCTGGGTGAAATAAAAAGAAGTCATTTTGTACACATTGTATTGCTTCAGACTTCTTTTAATTAAGTTTTGTAACGCAATTCTAATGATAAACTGGTATCTCTTGAATTAATTCCGTATGCTCTTCAGATGTAAAGCCTAATCAAGCCCCTTTACTTGTTCTTTAACTAGGTGTACAATACTTGTATCGCGGTAATTTACAGTTTGAAAACAAATTTAACTATATATCAGTTACAGGGAACACATTTTTTTTCACCCCTCATAACTTGACAGAAATATTAACTAAATACTGCAGATTCGAGAATACTTAAACGGAACCCAATCAAGAATTCAATAAAGAAACAAAAAAAAAGTGTACCAATAGTATCTCTACTTATCTCTCGCCAATTTGAATTGATTTCACCACTTAATTTTGAACAATTACAGTTTCCGTTCATTACCGATAAAAAAAAGTTCTGCAAAGTCGCTTAGTATGATAACAAAAAATAGCAACATAATCTGGAACCAGATAAGATTTTTCTGAACATTAGAATAAAAATCACATTACATCAGCATAATGTAAACTATTCATATATCAACAAATTGGAAATATAAAACAAAATATGTTAGTCATAAGTACAGCATGTCTTGTCAATCAATGTATCACAATTCAACTGAACCCTCCTAAAACTTATCTCAAAGTAAAGCTTCCAATTGTGGATGTTCTAAATCTAATAGTAAATGCAAAAGATATATAATCCATAATTAAACGATTAAGAATTTTTTTTCATCCTTGACAGAATCAACAGATTTAAAGCTTTTGCTAAGAAACTTTACATATACGGTCAAAATCTAGACGACTGTAGTAAGAAAAGGGTGGAATTCAAAATATATACTGAACATGAAATACGATTCTAACTAAGTTTGATATTTTTATAAGTAGTCCCCACAAAAGCAGCACTTGAAAATATCTAATCTGGATAAAACCGACACTCAACACATCCGATGAAAATGCCTTTAAACAAAGTAGGAACCTTGTCACTACATCAATTCCTAAACATTTATAGTATCTTCTAAATATATCGTGTCCAATATTTACGACACTTGGAGGGAATGTGTTACCAAGCTAGTTTATCAAACGACTTAAAAATATTCTATCAAGTCGAACAAGTTAATACTATATAGCCTGAACTAACAAAGAAATATCTTAAAACACAATTTCCAAAGTCAATTTCAAAGTATCAACTGTAATTCTAGAAAATACATTTAAGTAGTTCGAACTACTCCCTTTTATTTGGAATCATCTGTTTCACAAATTTCGAAAAATGAACCCATACTTTTTTGAGCTTCATAAACTTTTTAAACAATTTCTGCCCCACCAAAGTCGTCTCGATCATTCCATCTTTGAAAACAGAAAAGTAACAGTTGGTGGTTCTTTGACGAATCTGTTCATCGAGAGAAAACGCTCGGCAAACATTTTATTATCCCACCTAAACAGTACTACATACAAATCATAATCAAAAAAATTGATTTTAAAAGAGAGGCGAAAATACCGAAGCAATGTTCAAACTCATAAAGTCGATAACAAACTGACAACGCCATGGCAAAACAAAAGAAGACAAACGCCAAAAAAAAAACCCAACAGTATACAAAACTAAAATTCAACAAAATATTAAATCAAAACGAGAAGAAATTGTAAACACAACATTAGGCATTAACATATTATATAAAATAAGTTGAAAATAATTTTGATTTTAACTCAAGAGTATACTTCAAAATACTAATTCAAACCGTTGTGCACGTGATCGCTGACACATTTCACTCATTTCATGATTTGAATTTAAAGTATCAAAGTAATCTCTGAATGCTCGACAGAAATAACGAGAAAGAGATTAGAACAGGATTCCAGCTTTCAAATATTTAGGTTTGAACGTTCCTGATGATAGCTATTTCAGAAAAGGATTCTGGACGAAATAAATCCATAAAGTGTTATTTTCATTTACTAGCACTTGGTCAATACACATGCGCTGATGGGCTGTTCTCCCCGAGTGAATCACCAGCTCAGTAGTCAGTGCTTCGGTCTTTATATGCTTTTAAAAAAATCCTCATAGGAAAATTAAGAAATGATAAAGTAATTGAAGTTTCAACTCCCTCAGTCAAATTCAATAAACATTAAATAACACTTAAGGATGTACACTTCTGAGGAGCCAAACATTTCGAAAATTAAACTTTTTTCTTAAACCTGATTTTTTGGTTTATATGACTGTAAGAAAGTAATTGATGAAGAAAAAATCATATGGTAGTGCACTTCTTTTTTTTTGCTACGGCCATTTGAAAGTACCCTTTTTTAATGATTTTTCTATTTTTCATCAATTTATACCCATTGTTGGGCTATTTTCATGAAAAAAATCACAGTTTCACAACTAAACTTTTTTTCATACTTTCACTAAAGATGAAGTGGATCAATCTGAATAAATTTAACTTAAAAAAACTATAGGTTGGTGTTAATATTTGAAAGTTTTATAAAATGTTGTTGCTTTTTTGTGTCAAATTGACCATGCTGTCAATTTGGTAAATTAGGGTTTTTACTCTTTTTTTAGAACAAAAAGCATATTATTTCAACTTTTTTGTTATAAATGATTGGAAAAATACATATCTAAGAATTTTGAAAAGAAAAAATGATATCGGATGTACATATTTTAGGTAAAATATTTTTTTTTGTACCACGCACCCATTTTCTCAACATTTTGGCTGATGACACTGACTGGATTGGGTATAGAATTTGAAAATTTTATTACTCAAAACTACTTATTGTAAGTACACAATTTGTTCATATTAATTTGATTATATTTTTTAAGTTCATTGATATTTTCCACTTGTATCTCATCTTTTGGAAATAATTCCAAAACGAGATTTCAACGAGACTGAAACATCAGAAGAATACATCCTTAAGACGAATTACTACCATATGTAAGACATGTTCAGGTAAACAATATTCAATATGTCTATTAAATGTAAAGAATTTTAATAGATGTTGTTGATGTAGTTATTCTGAATTTCCTTGCACCATGGATATCCTTCAAATCAACCATACTTTCAGTAAGAATAACTTTGCTATTTCTTTTTTGTAGCTAAGTGAATGTGATGAATAGTTTCAATCTTGCACCTCAGCCTAGACCATCTCTTCATGGCGTTTCCATACAGTCAAGATTCTACTTCATCAAAATTATCTTCCCATTACGCCAGCTATTTTTTGCAATAAAAAATTGGAAGCCATTGTAGGGATGACGCGCAGCCAATGTAGCTCTTCAAAACCGATAAATGTATACACATAGCACCATTACGATCCCTGTATGCCAGTTGTATTTTAAAAGACAATTGTATCTACTAGCTATTGAGCATCATTTGATGTACTTTTTTGCATTTAGTCAACTTCAAACTATTGTCTTATCGGTTGTCAGCTGGAATTTTCGAAAGTTCAAAAACATATGAAAAAATTCTAATTAAATATTTCGTGTTAGGGCAGACTAAAAATGTTCAGAGGTTGAAGACTAATAACCCTAGATAGCACACACAAAACATGATTTTCTTTTTGAAGTTATGAAGTTATGACCCAAGTCTGTCAAGAACTTTTAGTAAAAGAGTATTATTCTATCACACTTACTCTGTTGTTATGACTCATTAGAAAGTTATTTCACTTGACCCATATATTTCATTTTTAGTACTGTCAATTCTTAATGTCATTAAATCAACATGTAGCCTAAATATATCAAAAGAATAGAATCTGAAGCGAGATGATGTATCAAATATTTTTGCTTTATACGTTTTCAAGAAAGAATAGTCAACTCAAACACTCCCTAACATAAAAAGGTGCATACGACTTTCTCTTTTCGATGAAATTATTGCCTATTTTTAGGATTTTTTTCCCAAAAAAACTGTCGCCGGGGGCAGAGATGCAAATTCATGCTTTAAAAAGATCAATCTATTATCTTTCTGTGTATTTTTTCGGCCGAATTTATGCTTATGCACAAAAAAGATCCACTTGTATTTGCACCTTCCACAATCGACTGTTTTATGAATATTTGTCTATAATCTGAGATTTTCAAATATCTCGAAGCTCCATACAATAATTTAAGTCAAAACTCGTATATAAAATGCATAAAATCCTAAATTATGCACCTTTATTAAACTTCTGAAGCCAATTCAAACAGATGTAAACAATTCAAATATACCACTTTGGCCTTTTTACCTTCTCTTACAAAGAGTTCCATTTGTTTTGTATAATTCCAACTAAGTATCCGCCTGCATAGATGACCTTCTCCCATTTATACATAAGTCCTTGGGTATTCATCACATCCGCAAGAAGCTATATTCGTTACCCCTTTCGAAACTTCATTCTATGTACATCTTATGTTTGGAAGCTACTGTTATAAATCCACATTAAAACCAATACAAAAAAACATATAGCTATCATGTTGGATATTAACAGATACTTTACAAACCAGCTGGTATTGGGAAATATTTTACTATAAAACAATCTTTTCTAAAATTTTCATTTGCCAACAAAGGTGTCAATGCCATCACCTGGCGCAATATCCTTCATGATCAATCTGTTTTAATAAAAAAATACATCCCTACTTTATAAACGTTTTATACTTACTATTATATGATCTTCTTGAGCTGTTACTTATTGTGCTGGAAGGTAAAATAAAATCTTAATTCACCATGATAAAAATGAAAAAAATACGATATAACAAGACTTATATATATATATATATATATATATATACACACACACATATGTGTTGTTGCTCAGTCTTTGGTTTTCTATGTTGTGTTTTGTAAACTGTAAAGGATTCATTGCATTGAACTGATATCATTCGGTTGTCAAGTTTTTAATGACATCTCAGTAAGTAGTTGTGTTTTGTATTTAATACGATTTCGGGGGGTGTAATATCCTGGTAATTGACGACTATGGTGAAAAAGATAGAGAAAATAGATAAAGAGTCAAATGATGTGGTACTAGTAGTTCAGACTTATGAGTTAAGCCTTTTTAGTTACAAAAATATTCAACACGTGTCAGTAATAACATTAGCGGTACCAATCTGACTGCACTCGATGTAACAGCTTTTGACCGAAACCCCTTCTTGTATCCATTTGACTTACATATTATTTTTGATTCATCCATCCCACAGTAAATGACATTACAATGTTAATTATCACGGAAACATACTTTTTCGGAAATACCGAGATAACTAGTTCCCGGAGATTAAATACTTCCGTTCCATGTCAATGCAGACGAAAATATGGTATTACCAATAGTAAAACTGGTTACTTTACTAATCAGACAGTCTTCACGACCAGTTGTACATAGACTTACTGTATCAGCAACGCGTCATCCAAAATTTCGTTCAGTTATTGTTTTGATTGCTCAAAGTAAGAATTATATAATAGCCATTTATTTATGCTTTAGTAATTTTAAAGTGCACAAATAGAACGTCTACTTTCACTTTACTCAACAACAGTAAAGAGTAAGATTTCAATAAAAAAAGTGTAAGTAGTTGTACATCTGTGTGTAAAATGTCGTTGTTGTTAGTTAAAACTATTCCAATTAACAAATAAAACTCCAATTTTCACGATAAAAGAGATGATGGAAAAGCTTTTCACAGTACGTTTGTAAACATGTCTATATACGTCATAGATGTGGTTTTTTCCAGTAAATAGGCCATGGAATATGTATTTTTCAACTATTTAAGCGATACATTTCTTACATTAATGTGCATTTTTTTTAAATCAGTAATAGGGGAAAAGTTCTTTGCATATTGTTTTATCGATACTTACATTAATTTGGTTATTGATTTATTAAACATAACAAGATATGTATTCTTATATAGCTTTGAACACTTATGACTACATTATGTCGATACTTATATTGTGGTATAGCACAGGGTCATATCTTTATCAAACTGGTAATATGAGGGTCTTTACATTTAATCAATTGGATGTGTTGGATAAGTATTTGAGTCTGGGAAGCGTGACTAATAATTAGTTTCAATTAACTTTCAGTAAATGTGAGTCCTAGATCTGTACTTAATGACTTTTTGTTAGTTTTTATTTTATAGTTTAGTGCTTTGTGTCGATCTGACGAGTCAATATAAGAAAATCACTAGTAAAAGGTAAAATAGTAAAAATACCGAACTCAAAGGAAAATTCAAAATGGAAAGTCCTTTATCAAATGGCAAAATCAAAAGCTCAAACACATGAAACGAATGGTAAACAACTGTCATATTCCTGACTTGGAACAGGCATTTCAAAATGGTGGATTGAACCTGGTTTTATAGCTAAATAAACCTCTCACTTGTATGACAGACGCATAGAATTCCATTATAATGACAACAAATGTGTGAGTAAAACAAAATGACATAATAAGTAAAATTGTCAAAAATTGGGGTACACAGGCAACATTGTGTTAAACTTATAACAAAGAAAATCAAAATGGCATATAAACACTCTACAGACAAAGTACATAAGCAAAAATGAAAGACAAGAATACAAAAAATAAGCATAGCACAATAACACAATGGCGGGATTTCCTAATTTCCGTGGCACGTAGTGTAAAGGGAATTAATTGTCTTCTCACGTAGTAGTTCGAAGGCGTATGAATTTTTTGGGCGGGAAAAATTATTGTGTTAAATGATAGGTGTATATATGGTCATTTCTAGCCCTGCCTTACTTGAGTGAACATCAAATTTTTCTGAGTGCCATGATGGATCCGGACATCGAGAATAGTGTTAAGCGGATTGTCGGGGAAGAAATTTGAAAATCACAGAACGATTTATTGTCACAAATGGAAGGGATGTTTTCAATAAAACTACAGGAATTCGATCATCAACAGAAGGAGAGATCAGAGCTACAAATGAATAGATTACAAAATGAACTTTCGGTGAATGATGACTACAAGTTTCAAAGAAAGTCTTGTGAAGACCAATTCGAATTCAACCGCAAGCTTAGCGTAACTTTGAAGGAAGCCGATGCTAGTCTGGAGTCCAGGGACCCAAGTGCTGGTTTAGCCAAGCAGAAAATAGCAGAAGGTATACAACTTATACGCTACAGACAGAAGTTGGTTAAAATGGCCGATTCGTCCGAGATGGGATGGAAAGTGGTACAGGAATATACAGCGAATCCCCTCGCAGATGATTCCGAGGACGATCGAAAAATTCTGAGAGTTCAGACACGAGCGGAGAGAAAAACAAAAGCAGAGAAAGCTAAGAAGAAAAGACCAACGCCGTATAGCAGGCCAACTTCAACAGCAACTTCTAGTGATAACGACACAAATGGAAAAGCAAGTGGGAGGCCCGGAGTTTGCTACAAGCCTGGTCACTGGAAATTTGAATGTCCAGAGAAAAAACGAAAGTTAAGTACTAATTTATTCAATGTTAATAAATTAAGTAGCATTTGTTCAGATTTACTGCATGATAATAGTTTTCAGGTGAATACGAATCACCTAACTGATAAGTCTTTAAAAGATGTCATGAATGATGATAGTATTTGTTTACTCGAGCATGAATGTATCGAACAGGTGTCTAGCCAGGTAACGGTAACTTCAAGTTTAATCACACCTGTAGGTAAATTGAAAAAATCAATACACAAATGGAGAGACATAGACACAAGCACGTATATTTTAAGAGTTATAGAAAAGGGTTACGGTATTCCATTTAAAGTACTACCAGATAATGTTATTTTGAGAAATAATAAATCCGCTAGGGATAACGGGGAATTCGTTATTGGCAAGATTTTAAAATTGACAGAAAAAGGTTGCATTTCAGAAGTTAACGATATACCTTTTGTGGTTAATCCTTTAACGGTAGCTTTTAGTAGATCAAAGAAGCCCCGTTTAGTTTTGGATTGTATGCATATCAACGAATGTATACACCAGTTTAGGTTTAAATTTGAAGACGGTGCAGTTGCAAGAGAATTGTTTGAAAAGGGAAATTTTTTGTTTAGATATTACCTTAAGAGTGCATATCACCATCTGGAAATATTAGAGGAACATAAAACTTATTTAGGTTTCAGTTGGGATTTCAATGGTATAACAAAGTACTTTGTATTTAATGTTTTTCCTTTTGGTCTGGCCAGTGCAGGTCATATTTTTACCAAAGTTCTTAAGGAAGTGATAAAATACTGGAGAAATCAGGGTTTGAAGATAATAATGTATCTTGATGATGGGCTTGGAGGTGCAAATGATTTTCAATCAGCTGAAAGAACTAGCTCGTATATAAGATCTAGTTTGTCTGAATTTGGTTTTTTAATAGCTGAAGAAAAATGTCTTTGGTATCCACAGCAAAATATGACCTGGATAGGTTTAGTTTGGGATATGGAGTTCGGGAAACTTAGAGTTTCCAGTGAACGTATAGAAAGATTAGTTGATGTTATCAGTAAAATACTTTTCGGTGTCGGAAAAGGTAAAATTTTGCACAGTGCAAAGTTTGTTGCCGGAATTGTTTGCCAGATTATATCAATGCAAGCTGTTTTAGGTAATTTGGTTAGGCTTAGAACTAGAGAATTGTATAACTGTATACTGTTAAGGGAAAGTTGGAAGTCACTTGTTGCTCTGACAGCTCCAGCTGTTGAGGAGCTCAGATACTGGTTAAATTCAGTAACGCAGTTAAATGAGAAAGGTAATGATCTGCATGAGTCAGATGTATGTGATTTAGTGGCGTTCACTGATGCCTCAGAAGTAGGTTTTGGGGGCTATATTGTGCCTGTAGTTGATAGCATATGTGCTGAGTCGGTCTGTGAATCGTTAGAAATTCTGACTGACTGTGGTCTAGAATTACCAGGTAACAGTTTGAATAATGTAGTAGGTAGTTGGACAATATTGGAAAGTGGTAAAAGTTCAACGTGGCGTGAGCTTGAAGCAGTTAGCAGAACAGATAAAAGTTCGTTAAGATGTTTAGAAAACCATTGTTTAAAATTGAATACAGATAATAAGAATTAACTGGTATAGTTAAAATTGGTAGCAAAAAATCGGAACTTCAAAATATTGCTTGTGAGCTATATTATTCATGTTCAGAGAGCAATATAAAAATTAAACCACATTGGATTCCAAGAGAACAAAATAAAATTGCTGATGGTCTGAGTAGATATTCAGATTGCGACGACTGGGGTATTGAAGAATCTGTATTTCAAATGTCAGATAAGTTATGGGGTAGGCATAAAATAGAAAGATTTGCTACAGATTACAACGCTAAATGTTCGAGATTTAATTCTAAGTGCTGGTGTAAGAACACAGAAGCAATAGATGCGTTCTCACAAAACTGGTTTAGTGAAAACAATTGGTTAGTACCACCACCGAATGTTGTTTGTAAGGTTATAAGAAAACTGTGAAGTGATGAGGCAAATTGTACACTGGTAGTTCCATTGTGGTATTCTTCACCTTATTGGTTGATGTTACATGATATTTTTGGAAATTTGAAACATTTCATAACAGACAAACACCATATAATGAACATTAGTCCTGTCGTTCCCGGAAGGGGAAATAATGGTGTATTTGGGAAACATATGAAATTTTCCTTGATTGCATTTAAGATCAGATTTGATTGATTTTATTTTGTATTTTTGTACAGGGTTAAAGCTGGGACGGTTTGTAACAGAAGCCGTGGAGGATAGTGGTATCGGAGAGGATCATCCTTTACATGATTTGGTGGGTAGTTTTTCGACGAGACTGCTTGATGCCAGAAGTGACAGTACTGTTAGAAAATATAACTATGCTTTTAAAAAATGGAACACATTTTCGCATGAACATAATTTGATTTATTTGCCAACATCGCCTATTCATGTTTCTTTATATTTAGTGCATGCTTGATTCAGGTGCTACATACAGTACAATCAATAGTGATTTTATTCTATAAAATGGGCTCATTACATGTCAGGTCAGTTAGATCCTACAGAGAATGCTTTTGTAAAAAATATAGTTGAGTCGGCTAAACGTACTTCTAAAGCTCCAGTTGTAAAGAAATATCCTGTCTTCAATGATAATTTGATAAGTTTATGTTCTATGTTTCAAGGGTCAAATGATTTAACAATAGGATCTGGCTATGATTTTACTGAGTTATAGCGCTTTTCTTAAATTTAGTGAGTTGAGTAATCTGAAGCGTAACAACATTATTCTTAAAGATAACTATTTAATTGTAAAGATTAAAAAGAGCAAAACTGACCAATATAGAGCCGGAGATGAATTTTAGTTTCTAAAGGTCGAACAATGGCTTGTCCATTTGACATGTTATTAAGTATATTGGAATGGCGCATTTAGATATTTGTTCGGACAAGTATTTGTTTCGTCCATTGTACAAATCTAAGAAAAAGTCTGGTTTAATTCAGGTTAATGAACCGATCAGCTATAGCACAGCTAGAGAATGCATACTGAAGCGTTTGAAATTAGTTGCTCCAGAGTTAAATCTTGGTTTGCACTCTTTGATGTCTGGTGGTGCCACTGCGGCGGCTAATTCTGACGTTAACGAAAGGTGCTGGAAGCGCCATGGTAGATATTAGAAGTCATTATGATTGCCACAATTTTTAATGTGTATTGATGTGACATGTTTGTACATATTTATTGAATAAAATCGCTAGCTCAGAAAATACACAAGCAGCAAGCTAGTCGACAAACATACGTTTGTGTTTTAGTTGTCTATTGGTAGAAGTGGTGCTATGTTAAGAACATAAGGTATAGAGAAGACGTATAAATACCAAGCCACGCAAAAAGAATATTACCAAAATGGACTAAACAGTAAAGGTTAAAAATATAAAAAAAGACCAATAAAAAAACACTATAAAACGTAATTAAGATAATAAACTACTTCAGTACCTAGAATCTATACTTCAAAACCATCAGGTATTATTTGTGAATTTGATACGGAATATTTATCAACAAGGTCTTGGTATCTATTGATGGAATTTAAAAAAAACTACGAGACGATCTTTGACATAACCCTGGTTTATCAACTTTCTGCTCAGACACTGGTGACGTTTTATAAAGTCTGAGCAGCAGCTGCAAGTTTTTGAATACCGAATGAATTGGGAAATGTATATCCAATATGCAGGTGAAGTAAATGAATTTAAGTCTTAAACGGTCATTTCGATCTTAAAATCACCTAAAAATTCTGAACAATAAATTATTCAGTCATATTCAGTAATTCAGTCAATTTTTCGGACTTTTCTATCGCGGAAAATTTAGTACTCTTCAGACAATTCGCTTGTGGTCAATTCAGTACTGTTCAGAAGCTTTTCAGACAATTGAGTATTATGTCGACGTTTAAGGGCTAATAACAATTACTAAACATAGACTGAACAGATCTTAAATGACTGCAAGAAAATTGTCTGAACAGTACTGATTTTTTTTGGAAATTGACCGAAAGACTGGAAATGGCTTACTAATTTATTTTTCAGTCTTTTCAGAGCTGGTCAGATAATGGTTTAAGATCAAAATTGGTGTACTAGTGGGTAGATGTATACTACTAGCATTCTACCACGAAAAAACCGAGATGGTATGACTGATTGTAAGATATAAGATCTTTTTTTAGAAAAATTGATATCAACTGGGTGCATCCAAACATTTGGGAAATAATTGGAAAAACTGAAACGAAAAGTAACAGTTGCTGACTACTGTACTCCAATTTTTGACATTTTGTCCTGTTATGTCTGTTTGTTTTGCTCACACATTGTTGTCAATATAATGTAATTTTACGCAACTGTCATACAAGTGATAGGTTAAGCTAGCTATAAAACCAGGTGTAATCCACCATTTTCTACATAAGTAAATGCCTGTACAAAGTCAGGAATATGACAATTGTTTTCCATTCGTTTGATGTGTTTGAGCTTTCGATTTTGCCATTTGGTAAGTGACTTTTCCTTTTGAATTTTCCTTGGAGTTCGGTATTTTTTATATTTTACTTTTTAATTAAGATTATGGTACATACAATCATTCGCAACCAATAATTATATTGAAAAATGATGCAAAAATATTATTTTGCAAATTTGTCTGCACCAAAAACGAATTTCGACAATTAATGTCTCTTCAGTGATTATCGATGCCAAGACACAAACATAATACAAACGTTGAAAAGCCGATAAAACCAAACGCATGAAAGTATAACCTAACTCAAACAAGATGTGAATGAGGGATATACATTATTTAGTTTCAAATTATTTCAAAAATTTTAGAGTGTCAAATATTGTATTGTTATAATTAAGCAGTTGTATTATACTTATTTAGACAAACACAAAAATACCACATTTCTTAAAATAAGAAATAGTCATAGAATTATATCTCTTTAAATGAATATTTAAATATTATCCTTTTCCCACAAAGATATGTCGAGAAAGAACAATTTTTATTCTCACTTCTTAAAAATTATGATTAAAATTTTAAATTTTCTTTACTGGAATAATCAAAAAGTGGAATAAGCATAACAAAATTATGTGAACATAAAGTTCTCAAAACTTCCTTTTAACTATTGGATCCAATCAACTGTTGAAATTCTTTTTTCTAAATGAGGAACATAATTCAAATATCTCTCTAAACATATTTTTTAAAGGAGCATTGGCTGTCAAATTCATGTTCACCGATTTGACTCAAATTCTCATATTTGATTTAGAACATACTAACACGTATATCCAAATTACAAAAAGTCTAAGATAAAAAAAATAACAATGCTTTGACTTGATAATATGTATTAACATTTCGTGTGTATTTTTTGTCTAGACGTCATCCAATTTACCATCGAGATGACCTCCGAAGACTGCCGACGGTCATATAACCCGATATAAACATAAATATGAATTTAAACAGATAGTGACCACGTGGAATTAGATTTTTCTAGGTCTGTTTGATTTCATATTGTAGGTTTTAAAGTATGTCTATCATCGTTGTTACCTGTTTAAGAATGATTTTTTTGTGAATCGAATCAGTCAACCAAATGGTTCAACCTTGTTTCACTTTTAATGTTGACATTCTTTTCCTTTTAATAGCTGAATGCATGTGTAACCTATGTCCAGCTAAGTGGTTAAATTGAAGGTTAAATGAATACGGAAGCAATAAGGTCAAATTATCAAATTCAAGTGAATAATTTATAAGCGATGTTTCTTACCTTATTTTGACAAAATTGAACCAAATTGGCTGCTAAAAGCGAATTATTATTTCACTATTTCACTTTCATTAATGATTGAGCAAACAAAAATAAGTTAATATTTTTTTCATATCTCGTAGCTAATGCCTCTATAAGTTTTGCATAAGAATGCAAATATACCATAGCTATCCCATAAAGTGGCTGTTGTTTCCAGAAATTGTATGAAAAATAAATTTATTCAATTGATATGTAAAATATATGAAAAATAATAATAGCCTTTATCAGTATTTTTGATAGATATCACTGGAAATCATGTGCCAAGTAATCAACATAGGACCCTTGAAATTTTGCATTTGAAACTGGTAAATTTCTATGAAAGTTTTTAACATAATTTTATTGGATTTTTTTAGAGTATCATTCAATGGATTTTACATCACAAAGAAAATTACTTGGTTTTGGTAAACCAACACCAGTAGAACCATTATCAACAGATGAAGCTATGAATTTAGGAACAAAATTGCTTGGAGAAGCATTAGTTTACGGAGTCTCTGCATCATTTCTGCTTTATGAATACAACAGGTCTTTAAAAAATGAAAGGATCAAGGCAGAAAAGAGAAAGTGTGAAATAGAAAAACTTCAAAAAGAATTACATGAACATGGATTGATAACAGAAGACCTAAAAGGACAAATGTTTAAATTACAGGTCAAAAATTGGATTTTAGAAAACTCGCTGTCCTCTCTTAAATCAAGATAATGCTAGCGCTTTGTGCGTTGATCTCTTTGGCTAACTCGGCTGTGAATTTTTATGTGCTGGTTTATGTTGTTTTATGTATCCGTTTTTATTCTGTAGTTAGTCAACACTTCGGTGTTATCATGTATATCTATTATATAGTCATTTTTATAGATTTACTGTTTGCAAAAGTATGAATTATTCTAAATACTAAGGATGTTCTTATCCCAGACAGAAAACCTTAGCCGTATTTGGCACAACTTTTTGGAACTTTTGGTCCTCAATGCTCTTCTACTTTGTACTTGTTTTGGCTTGCGAACTTTTTTGATCTGAGCGTCACTGGTTAGTCTTGTGTGGACGAAACGCGCGTTTTGCGTATTAAATTTTGAACCTGGTACCTTTTGTTAGCTATTATTCGTATGTTTCTCTGTCCTATATGTTCTCCCATTTATTTGTATTGTAGTCCTGTCATGTAATGTTGTCATTTTAATGTTATATTTAACATTGCCATAAAAGCGAGAGGTTTGGCTAGCCACAAAACCAGGTCCAACCCACCATTTTTTTCTTAAAATGTCCTGTACCAAGTCAGGAAAATGGCCATTGTTATATTATAGTTCGTTTCTGTGTGTACATTTTAATGTTGTGTTTCTGTTGTGTCGTAGTTCTCCTCTTATATTTTATGTCTTTCCCTCAGTTTTAGTTTGTAACCATGATTTGTTTTTTTCTCAATCGATTTATGAATTTCGAATAGCGGTACACTACTGTTGCCTTTATTTAGATCCAAAAAACTACTTTTAAATTTTTTGTGTCTGTAAAAGTTTACATGTATGAATGTCTGAATAATATGAAATCAAACATTAATACCACAAAATTGTAAGAAATAATGTACATTGTATATGAAAAGTTTTATTTTTACACATATTCAAAAATCACATTTTTTAGATGATGTTGTGAGAATGTAGGGATAAAACTTTTAATGAAGTAACAGGTAGTCAACAACTTTGTTTTACTGGATAATTTTTATGATTATGTCACATTATGATTATGAATGACATGGCGGATGATGTGTGCATTACTTTTTGCTAACATACAAATTACAGGTAGTTACCTCCCATTAGGCCCGAGAACACAGTTATTTCGTAGTGCATTTCTATTAGACAAAAAACGCAAATTAAAAAAATCGCACCTGCTCCACCAAAAAAGATTTTTACAGTGTAGTGTTCTACTTTTGGGACAAATTATATCAAAATTATAGAAAAGTCTATCGGCTCTAACTCAAAATATGGACAATTTTGTGCGAAGGGGTCCATAATTCAGTTTGACAGCTTCAGACATACTAATTTTTGACCTTTTCAAACTGGACCAAATCACTACTCTACCTAAATATTCATGCACGAAATATTTTTTTCATGTTATTTCATCTCCTTACTTTCTATTTTATGCATAAAATATAAAGAAATAAATTTGGAAGGTGTAGGGACTCTATTTGTAAACAACGAAAATCAAAGGACGATAACTGTGTCCCACTTGCCAGATTTCATCTCATCAAAATTCATCTTTATGTAATTGGATGAAATTTGAATTTCAAGGAAAAAATAAACATAGTGTGAAAACAATTGCACTATAGCTCTATTATTCCTACATACTTATTATTTTACAGACAGACAGAAAGGTAGTTTGTAAGGGTTCATGTGTGTTTTTTTTTTACGTTGTTGTAATAATTTTTGCATCGACCACGAACCCTAAATGTCATACATTGTAGCTCATGTGGCCCATTTGGTCACTACTTTTGCTGTTGTAAAATAGAAAATTTTAGTTGTCATCATCCTCTTTTAAGGCACTGTGTTATTTTGGACTGAAATTTGATGAAATAAAACACGTAAAGTCCTTTATACAATTTTTCCCTTCGTTACTATATAAACAACTGGACAAAAAAGCATGGCCTACACGAAAAGCCTGATTTCGATTGGCTTATTATTCAAAATCTTATCTACAAACTGCCCTCATCATTCAATGAGCGTCGTCGAATAGAAATCGACATTATGCAAATGAATATCATTACATCTGTTAACATATTTAACGTTGAAAAATCTCTGCGGAAGGTTTGTAACTGTTTGAAAATTGAGTTGTTATAAGAACCCTACAAAACCGACCAAAATTCGTCTTTTATTTCGTATTTTAATGTTCAAATCAATCAAAGTCTTATACATGTACATGTATACGTACACTTGCGTAAGGTCGATTTCTATCCGACGCAGCTCAAATGTTGATGTCAAAATGACAACATCGGTGTTCGTATTTTCCATTGACCGAAGCCCTATTTAAATTCACATGTTTATCTTTCTGTCAAATTCTAACAAAATATTGTACTAATGATATACGGGAAAAGAGAGGCGAAAACAAACAAAGGGACATTCAAACTCACCAGTCGAAAACAAACTGACAACGCCACGGAAGTCTTCTTTACATGATTTCATATGTTTCGGATCAAATGAAAAACATAGCCGCCAGGGACAATCTTTGAAACTACAAGGTCAAAAGTTTTGCTTTACAAAAAGAATTGATAAGATCACTCTCTTAAAACAATCTTCGGTAAATTAAAATCGGGTCGCATTCGTATGCAGTATGGCACATGTTTTTCTTACCATTTGAAAATGACATTTGCATCATCTCCTAGCGATTCAATTTTTGTTTCAATTTGGGCCTTAACAGTTTTGGCACAAATTTTGTTGGAATTGTGGTTTAATGCTCTTAGGAGCCTCGGTGGTTGAGTGGTCTGAGTAGTTCGTCTACTTCACACTCGCCTTTCAACATTGAGATTTTAAGTTCACACCACGCACGTGCGTTCAACTCCAATCTTAATTGACTAGGCGAGTTTTTCTTCTGAAGGTCGGTGGTTATCTCCGAATTTCACCGTCAATTGTGACTTGGATGGAGAGTTGTCTCATTAGCACTCATACCACATCTTCTTATTTCTACTTGATGTATTTAACACGCAAATTTCGTACCAAATACCCATTTTTTGTATGAATTTTCAAAGGTGGGTTTTGGAATTTGTAAGGCACAAGGTGAAAGATACATATTCTTCCTTCGGAGTCTCTAGCTTGAATTCATAAATACAAGAAAACATGGGTATGCGTCCATGAGACTGCAAAAGTCAATGAACATTTAGAGGTCAATATACAGTCTTAACAATAAACAGGTATTCAATATTTCAAACTCCAAATCGCTTCAAATCTTGAAAAGTTGTGAATGAATTTTGTCGAGGCTCTTAATTCTGCAATCAACACCAACATTTCTGAAAGAACAAAATTATATAAAAAATATATAAAAACCCGTAAAAGGTTATTCACGTGCAGTTACATGTACATGTGACGGAGTTAAACGTGTTTCAAGTACTCAATCATCTCCCTTTAATCTGAGTTAGTGAAATACCAAAAAGGCATTAGAAAAAAATATGTTTAACTCCGCTATATACTGAATGTGCCGATCCCAAGTCAGAAGTCTGCGTTGGTTGCTGTCTGTCATATTTGTCTTAAGATAATTGTTTTGGTATACATCAGGTTGTTGGATTTCTCGTTTGAATTCCGGGGTGATCCCAGGTGTTTCGAAACTGTAAGCAGATCTTGGTCAAATTCGAGGGAAAGAGGAAGGGATTATGGTTACGACAATTGGAACATACCCGTAGTCGTCCGTGAAAAAAATATTCAATAGCGGTCAACCAACTCGTAATAATTTCAACTTCACCATTTAAAACTCTTTCTAGTGAGCAGAAATCCTCTATCAAGGCAATCATGATAGAAAATTCAAACTCTGGAATGTCGTATCAACTGGGAGATATATATTCCATATGCAGGTTCTGCTGAAAATGTACAACAAAAAGTGGACAGTTCACAATTGGGAAGCTAAAATCATCCCATTCATCGTAAAGTTTTGTTCTCAATCGACCCTCGATGTAAATTTCTAGATGTAATTCAAGATATGAGGCAAATTTTACTGTACCGGTTGTATCCTTTATATCAAATTTGATGGGATAAATGCGTTCAACATAATCACTTAACTTTGAACTATTTAGTGAGTGGATATCATCTATAAAGCGGCACGTGAAATTAATTGATACGGCTAGCTTAGCTTCGTTTCATTCTTCCGAATGTAAAACACTGTTATGCCTGCCTAAAGCAACAACACTCCTTCCCGTCAAAATGGACCACCAACAGTTATGAGTATAACCAGCAATAAGGTTTACGGTCTTTATTCATCAAAAGCGCATTTAAAAAAGTGACACTTTTACCTTTAGAATTATTGATTACTGTTTCAGGTACATAAAATATAGGCAGAAGATACCAATGGGATTTTCAAACGCAGGAGCTGCTGGAATGTTTACTGCTTATAAAATGTTGAATTATTCGAAACAATTAAGTTTTTCTATCCACAAGTAAAGATAGTCTTAGACTGATTTGGCTCAGCATATTTTTTTGGAATTTTGGAATTTTAAATCTCTTCAATTTGATATTAGATCTAGCCTTCTAACTGTTTTGATTCGGGCGTCACTGATGAGTCGTTTGTAGACAAAAATGCGTGTCTAGCGTACAAAATGATAAGCCTGTTATCTTTGATTAGTTTTGGCGACATAGAAATGGAAAGTTCACAATTGGGAAGCTGAAATCATCTCTTTTGTTCCCAACCAACCCTCATTGCAAATTTGTAGAAGAGGGACAAAAGATACCAGAGGGACAGTCAAACTCATAGATCGAAAACAAACTGACAACCCCATGGCCAAAAATAAAAAGGCAAACAGACAAATAATAGTACAGATGACACAACATAGAAAACTAAAGACTAAGCAACACGAACCCCACCAAAAACTGGGGGTGATCTCAGGTGCTCTGGAAGGGTAAGCAGATCCTGCTCCACATGTGGCACCCGTCGTGTTGCCTTTGTTATTGCAAATTCGGTAAATAGTCTAATTCGGTGGGTCACATTCGTGAAAAGGGAAGGGTATTGTAGTTACGACATAAGGAACATATCCGATATCATCTGAGAAACGGTTATTCCATAACGGTCAACCAACTCGTGATGGCGTCCGTAAAATTTACGAAGGGATGATTTCAACTTCACCATTTGGAACTCTTGGATTAATCGCTGTTAGTCAAAACCTGAGGCAGACTTTATTGTATCGGTTGTATACTTTATTTCAAGTTCGATATGATAGATGCATTCAACATGGTCACCAAAGTTTGAAATTTTTAGAGAAAGGACATCATCTATGTAGCGAAACGTGAAGATAAAAGATAATGATAGCTTAGCTTCGTTTCATTCTTTCGAATCTAAAAAACTGTTTTGCTTGGCTAAAGCAATAGCACTCCTTTCCGTCAAAGTGGACGACAAACAGATATGAGTTTAACCAGCAATTAGTTTTACGGTCTTTATTCTTCAAAAGCGCATTTAAAAAAGTGACACTTTTACCTTTAGAATGTCCTGTCACTGTTTCAGGTACATAAAAGATAGGCAGTAGATACCAATGGGATTTTCAAACGCAGGACCTGCTGGTACGTTTACTGCTTATACAATGTTGAATTATTCGAAACACGGAAGTTTTTTCTATCCCCAAGTAAATATTTTCTTTGCTTGATTTGGCACGGCGTTTTTTGAAATTTTAGAATTTTAAATCTCCTATATTTAATATTTGATCTGGCCTTAAGCTTTCAACTGTTTTGATTCGGGCGTCACTGATGAGTCGTTTGTAGACGAAGTTGCGCGTCTAGCGTAAAAAAAATGATAAGCCTGATATCTTTGATGAGTTGTTTTGCTATATATAAATGGAAGTTCACAATTTGGAACCTGAAATCAACTCTTTTGTTCTCAACCGACCCTCATTGCCAATTTGTAAATGTAAGTCAATATCTGAGGCAGACTTTTCTCTATCTGTTGTATCCTTTATGTCAAGTTCGATGGCATAGATGCATTCAAAATAGTCAATAACGTTTGGAATATCTAGTGAAAGGACATCATCTATATAGCGGAACATGAAGTATAATGCAAGCTTCTTTTTATTCTCCCTAAGAGGCTTATGTATGAAGTATGCCTCACATATATAAAGGGACAAGACTGTGGGACAAGGAACACAGTAGGTTTCAAGTTCAAAATGATAGATGACTATTTTTTTATTTTCAGTTGCAAAATATCAGAATATAGAAATACACATGCACTTGTTCCGAAAGTTATATAAATCTTGATTTTAAAGGGAATATAATTGATGCAAGTATAGGTAAATAAAAAAGATGATTTGTGATGTGTACAGACACTGTTAATTATCTACGCTAGGAATCATAATTCTCTAGTTGCATAGTTGTTTCAACATCAGTACATAAAAAAAAACCAAATAACTAACAGCAATAAAAAGACAACCTTTTCATTGAATTTTATGAACTTTATATATTTTTACTTTATACTTTACACAAAACATATTAGTTTTTATCGCTGTATATGTAATTGTGCGCTTGTTATTCAGCCAGTAGCGGAAAAGTGGTATTGTTATTGAGAAATGCAACGTAATCAAAAATAAAACAAGAGTCTTAATTGTGTCACTTCTATTGATGCGGAGGACATTGGTCTGTAGACTAATTATGATCCCTCGACCATATCTTACTCAATTTAAAAACGACCTTTATGTAATATATTTATGGATTCCTGTTGGTTTTGCCATTTCAAAGATACATGGTAATTTTCTATATCTAAGTTGGATGTGGATATAGGTTTATCATTGAAATTCG